GAATTATTTTATATATATATATATATTCATGCTTTAAGAACCAAACACCTAATTAAAATCATTTTTTTTTTTTTTTATTTTTTATTTTTTTTCAGTAGATTACTAAAAACTTAACAAATACATAATTGAAAAAATAAATTAATGATTGGGAAATTGATTGAATTCTATAAGAATTAAAATTAATTCATCTAAGAAATAAATGATTTTACATTTTATATATAATAAACATAATTTTATCAATAAATCACCAAACCGAACCAATATATTTTTTTTTTTATAGAATATAATAATGTTATACAGACCATAGCCATTTCATCCTTAAAAATATTGGATATTTGTCAAAACATTTACTCTGTATATAAAAATAAAATTAATTTTTTATGGATTTAGATAATTTAAATATAATTAAACAAATATGTCAATAAATTATTTGGAATTTAAAAAAAAAAAAAAAAAAAAAATTATTTAACACTAAATTTAAAATAATTTAATTTTCCTAAATGTTAATTTTAGTTTTCAATTTTAATTAAAAAAAAAAAAAAATTTTTTTTTTTTTTTTTTTATATCAAAAACTTAATAATTCTGACTTTTGTGATATTTATATAAAATTATTATAATTAAAAAAAAAAAAAAAAAAAAACAAATTTTAATTTTTGTTATGGTGGAAAAAAAATTAAACCCATAAAATATCATTTACTTAAATATACTACATATCTAATTAGGTTTAGGTTCGGAATTGACAGGATTAGATGCTGCACTATTCATTTGCTGGAGTAGCTGTTCCAACAATTCCGGATTAGTATTTTGAACGTGTTCTGCAACTCTGTGACCGACTTGCAAAAGTGCCTCCATTTCATTACCATTTCCATTCCAATTTTCTAACATAGCAGAGCTCATCATATTTTGAACTGCAGGATCGGACATCATCTGAGAAGCAAATGACATTATCGATGGATTTCTAAAAAAAGCATTTAAGTTAAAGTTTTGTAAATTAGGAACTCGATTAACTCCTCCATTAACTGATCCTTCAGACATATTTCTAAGCCCTTCATTCAACTCAAGATTATTTATATAATTTTGATTTCCTGGTTCTAACTCTAAAGCTTTCTTATAGCTTTGTTTTGCTTCTTGAAACATGTTGAGACTTGAATAAGCAAAACCTAATCTACCATAAGCTTTGCTGTAGGTGGGTTCAATTTTTAATGCAGCTTTGCAATCATCTATTGTAGCTTGATGATTATTTAACCTACTGTATGCAGCCGCTCTATTACAATAATAAACGGGATTATTTGGATCTAGCTCAATGGCTCTAGTGTAGCATTGTATAGCTTCTTCAAATTTTTCCGCTTTAACTAGATTATTTCCTTCAGTTTTTAAATTTTCGGCTTCTTCTTTTTCAGCTGAAGTAGCAACTTTTGAAGGTGGTGTTGGAACCGAATGACTGGCAAACATTTGAGTCAGAGGAATTCCTACGTCCAAAGATGGATCTTCATTATGAATCTCGTAAGCATTTTCTAAACACTGAATTGCAACTTCTATACTCTCGCAAGCTTCCGGGCTCAAAGAAGTTAACTCGTCTTTTAAAAATTTTATAACAGAATACACAACTTTCTTATTATCAGACATTTCGTAAATTTTTTTAAATCACACAAAACTGTTCTTTAAAAATTGAGAAAAATTATTCGCACTTTAGCCCTAAAATTGAGCTAGCGACAATAACAATCTAAGAACCACGAGTACCATTTGCCGCATATAAAAATTTAATAATTTTTTTTTTTTTTTAATGTTGGCAACTTTATGTCAAAGGAAATCTATCATTTTCGCGCTATAAATTTTTATTGAATTATAAGTATTTATTTTTAATCTGACTATTTTTAATTTTAAAAATCAATCTATTTCAGTTTAGTTATTATACATGTAATTGTACGTTGAGTATTAAAAAATTCTATCATTATTATTTTGTAATTTTAATTTATCTTACTCCATATTTCAATTTTATAATGAATTTAATTTAATATTTGTACTCAAATTTAATTACTCATAATAAATTTCAAAAATATTTTCCATCCCCAAAAAAAGTTATGCGTCACATCTTTAATGTAATACTACATTTAAGTTAGATTTTTAAATATTTCTGAATGATTTTTATACCCTCAATTTTCACTATTATAAAAATTTATTTGAAGACTTAATTAAAATTGCCATTATTGATTTATGATGATACGATTATTGTTTTTACAAAAATTATTAAAATCTTTAATAATTATCAAAATTATTTTTCATTTCAGATCAAGAAGTTCTTTCATATGTACACTATGATATTACAATAAAATACTTTTAAAAGTAAGCAAGAAGCTTACGCAGACATTAAAGAATGATGCCATTATAAATTCTCATCATTATTTACCTTTTTATTTTAATAGGTAATATTTTGTTTTCAAACATACCATAAGTGTACAATATGTATACAATTAAAATTTTTGTTAAGTTTTACACTTTCAAAATGTATTCGAATGCAAGTTCTAACATATATTGTAATTTTTGATAGACATGGAAACCAGTACACCGGTAAGCTCACCCAGTCGGAGAAAACATTCTCTTGCACAAAAGTTCATAGGAATCAATGAGACTTTAGAAGACCATGAATCAGAAATTCAATTAAGACGACAAGAAGCTATAAATAAATCAATTGAAACAAGAAGACGATTGTCTGTAGCTCCTTTAATCGCTGGTTACACTGCCGTACAACTGAATCAACATTGCAAAGATGTTATTAAACTGTCAACTGAAAATAAAATAAATTGTAAAAATGCTTTTAATTTCTGGCTCATTGATGTTATGGCAGCAATGGCGAAAAAAAATGATTCAGAAATCAATAAGAATTTTCAAGTTGCAAGTTGTACTTTGGATGCCAGTGTAAAAATCTACGGTTACAGAGTAGATGCTATTCATACGGATGCAGTAAAAATGGCAGGTGGTTTTTTAAGTAAAGAATCTCATTCGGAGGAAAAAGAAATGAAAGATGGAGATGTGGAAAAAGGAGATGTAGCAGGTGTAACAAAAATTAAAAAAAAAAAAAAGAAATTAACTCTCGTTCCACCTGAAACATTAAATGCAAAATCTGAAGCAGAAATTTTTCTCGACATTCAACCCAGTCCGACTTTTCTAAGGGGTAAAAATTGCGGTAGTGACTTATTACTAAAAGTTTCAAAATATAATGACGAAGGAATTATGTTCCTGGATTCGGATTATCCGTGTTGGCCTTACGGCGAAAACAGTAGTTCTGTACCTAAATTTGAAAATCAAGAAATATTTGATCATGAAATTCTAATGACACTTTTATCTGAAATTCAAATTGGCGAGGAAGGTGAAGAACATCTTTGTTCATATTATAAGGATTTTAAATTTGGTGAAATATATAATGACAATGAATCGGATGACGATTTACAAATATCACAAAACAGTGAAAAATTTGAATTTAACATGAATGCCAGCTATCATGATATATCTTCGGATGAAAAACCATCGGATCAAAGAAATAGAATTGATATTCCAGCTGGGGGATTCGAATCCGAAGAAGAAATAATTTTGAAACCTGAAAACAACAAAAAACAAACTCAAAACATTCCCATATCGGAATTAACATCAAGAATATCAATTAATCCGTCTGAATATTCAATGTTCGATGAGAAATTATTAAAAGCTTGGGCAGGTCCCTCACATTGGAAAGTTAAACCAATAAGAAAACCGTTACAAGAATTCACTTGCAACGAAGATACACTAAAACCTATATCATCGAAAAGAACAAGAAAAGGTAAAATAAAATGTTACGCGGGTTTATTTGACGTTTCCGAAGAAATATTAGAAAAAAATTTAATGGAAAACGAAAAGACGACATTATTTAAATCAACAATGTTAAATTGGAATTCACAAAATACAACAATGCCAAAAGATCTTAAATATCAATCTAAAAATTTATTTTCATTATTTCACATACCATCATTTATAATAACGTATAGTCGAAATGAAAAAGAAAATGAAACGACGTTAGAAAAAAATAAAAACGTGGAAGAAAAAAACGACGACGACGACGACGATAATAACGAAAAAGAATTAGAATATTGTTCTGCTCGTTCTTTCGTTCACGATAATAACGAATCGAGACATACAGACGAAGAAGAACAAATCATCCAGGGATTAGAAAAAGAAGAAGAAGAAGAAGAAGCTTGGAATTTAGATAATATGGTACAAGTACCTAAAAAAGTTGAAAAAATACAAATGTCTAATTTTCAAAGGAGAAAACACGTGGATATACAAAATTTAAAACGCGGTCTCTGGACCATTTTGACAGCTTCAACTCGTGAGAAAACATCAGATTCCGACAAAGTCGAAAAAGTTTTCGAATTTAAAGATTTAATTAAAATTTATCCTAGTAAAGTATCGAAAAATTATAGCAATCTATTAAGTTCTCCCCTAATATTTAATGCATTGTTACATTTAACTAACGAAAAATGTTTAACTCTAACTCAAAACAAATCAAACAAATATAATTTTTTAATTAGTCAGTAATTATTAATTTTTTTTTTTTAATTTTAAAATCTTTATTACGACGTAACGACGAGGTCGAGCATAATAATAATAATAATAATAATCAAGGAAGCTTTTTTTATAAATAAAACCTTGGTTAATTAAATATATAACTTGAATATTAATCATATACATACTCAATTGATTATATATATTTTTACAAAATGGCGGTCAATTCATTTAAATTCAAACCTTATTAATTTTCATTGTTTAATTTAATTGTTATTTATCAAGTAATTTTAACGGCCATCAATATTTATTATTATTATTATTTAAAGACGGTTATTTTTAATTATAATTAATGTTGTTTTATGAAAAACTTTTTAAATCCTTATTCAAAATCATAGAGTGTATAAACGTGTGATATGTTATCATTGATGATATAAATCAAAAAGAAAAAATGATTTAATGACGTTAAAGATGTTTTGTTTTTTTTACCTTGATATTTTAACAACAACTTGAGGATTATTGGTCTGCAGACATAATAAGAAAATTGGACATGCAGATAAAAAAAATTTTTTCCATCGTCTCGCATGTCGATAATAATTAAATAAATACCAAGTTTTATTAACGTCATTAGTTTTTTTTTTTTTACTTAAATATCCTGTTTTATTTAAAAATGAACCATATCTAAAAAAAAATTTTCCTATCTAATGACGTAACGGGTACATTTTCGAAACTTGTTTAACAGGTAAAAAAAGAATAATTTTATATTTATTTATTTAATATTATTATCTTATTACGGTATTTATTACCATCGATATTACGTCAGAATTTTGAATTCATTGATATTGTATTAAATTAATTTTTTATATATTTACAAAAAAAAATGGGGGGAGGGAAAAACACTTTAGATAATAATAATAACCCTGGAAAATGTATAAGGGTAGTAGTGGTAGTAGTAAACTATCAACAACAATTTAATTTATAATAAAAAAAAAAAAAAATTAAATTATATATATACAAACGGATTCCGGTTGTTTATTATTATTATTATTATTACTTTTCGTGTAATCAATAATGACATTGAAAAAAACCGGATCAGTTTTAAAAAAATTTTTTTTTTCTTTTTTTATTATTTCCTTTTCTCTCTCTCTCTCTCTCTCTCTCTCTCTCTCTCTCTCTCTCTCTCTTTCTCTCTCTCTCTCTCTCTCTCTCTCTCTCTCTCTCTCTTTCCATTAGATTAATGGAAAATTCAAAATAAACGTATTCGAACGATTTAATGTAAAGCATTTTGGATTTTTTTTTAAAAATTCTTCACCCGGAAATCGTTACGTAAATTTTTTTATAAATAAATATCGTAAAAGGTGTAACCCGGAAAATTTATACATTTACTGAATTTTCCACGGAAAATTTTTTTTTTTTTATAAATCAGATTTAATGAATAATTAGAGTAGATTAATTCTATTCGAGGTAAAATAAAATTTACACCGTTAGTTATTTTTATTTATTTATTGTAAAAATTAATTAAACGTACTAAGTAATAATAATAATAATGGATGAATGAATTATTGTCACGTGATTATTTAATTGATAATATCACGGAACGATTGGATTTACATATTAATTAATTAATTAATTAACAAAAGGGTTACGATAGCCAAGTTTTTTTTATCATGTCCGATGCTTTTTCACCAATCATAATAGCAATAGCATTCGTATGACCTCTGGGTATCGTGGGAATTATAGAACAATCGACAATTCTTAGCCTTTGAATCCCTAAAACTTTTAATTCGGGATCAACAACGGATGTCGGATCGTTTTCCGGTCCCATTTTACACGTTCCTATTTGATGATGAAGATTCGTAGAACTTTGTCGTACTGCGCATCTCCAATAATCGTCGCTACCAAAATCAAAATGGCTACAATTTGGAAATTTTCCTGGATAAAGGGATGCGTTGTATTTTTTAAAACTTTCCGATTCTCCTATTTTAATAGCCTAATTACCAACGAAAAACAAAAAATTAATTTTTTTTTTTATCACTATTTGATCCTTGAATATAATATTAATAATAATAATAATTTTTTATTGTCATTTTCCCACCTTTTTTTTTTTTTTTTATATTTTTATGTTAAGGTCAAAATGTTTAACTTTTGATTTAGTATAACTAATTTGAACCCGACCATTAAAAATAATAACCTCGAAAAGTTCAAAAAATTTTCTTTATTTTAACAATAAAATTTAATGATGATAATTTAAATGAAAACTTTTCATCATCCATCCCTTTACTTTCCTACCCTTAATTTAAAAAAAAAAAAATATAATTATTATTATTATTAGAAGGTGGATTTCACTCACCATTTTTATACCCCGAACCATAGTTTCGACATCTTCTTCCACGTCGTAATAATTCGGATAAAATAATGGCCAATGAAATGGATTTTTCGATTTGAGTCTTAATCTTCCAACGCTTTTAGGTTTCAATAAAATTGGCACGAGTGAAAAACCATCCCTTCCGAAAACTTTACCGTACATGCTTTGGAAAATATCATCCCTGAGCCCGAAACTTTTCCTTAATGCACCTCCCGTGTCACCGGTTAAAGAACCCGCACCCATAACTATTTCAATATCGGCCGCATTTCCTCCTTTTCCGACATATTCCGCGTCTTGTTCGGCGGATGATGTGTCGACAAAGGCAACACCTTCTGCACCTCCTGGTGACGTCAATGGACCCGTGTTATGTAGAAGATAATCAAAAACGTTTGCCGGATTAGTAGATAATCTTTTTTCCACTAGAGACACGGTATCGTTTATGAGAAATACCAAAGTCCCGAAGGAAACGTGATCTTGAAGATTTTCTCCGACCGGAAGATTCTTAATTACAGGTATCCGTAGTTGTGTTAAGTGATCCTGTGGACCTATTCCCGAGAGCATAAGTAATTGGGGAGTGTTGAGGGTACCAGCTGATAAAATAACTTCTTTTCGAGCTTTGATTTTATATATTTTACGTTGTCTTACGAATTCCACACCTGTGGCAGTTTTCGTTTGAGGATTTATAAGAATTTTAGTGACTCTTGCTTCTTTCGCAACGTGTAAATTAGGCCTGTACCTTATTGGCCTTATGTAAGCTTTTGACGAACTGACTCTTCTTCCTTTTTTCATTGTTGTTTGTATGTGCGAAAACCCGATTTGTTTTTCACCGTTTGGATCGGTTATATCGAAACCCATTTCGCGACCGGATTCTAAAAATAATTTTCCCAAAGGTGTTCTCCACGGTGGATGATTTATATTCAAATTTCCGCTGTGTCCTCTGAAAGTTGAATTTATCAATTCCGGTATTTCGACTTTTTCGAGTTTTTTAAAATAAGGGTAAACATCATTCCATCCCCATCCTGTATTACCCAATCTTTCCCAATCGTCGTAATCTTTCGGATGACCTCTTGTGTATACCAAAAAATTAATTACACTCGTACCACCCATTATTTTACCACGTGGCCAAGTACATTTTTGTTCGTACATGGCCAAACACGAACGATTTTGAGGTACCGTTTTATAACCCCAATTGAAACCGGAAAATGTCCAATAAGTGCTTGCGAGTGGGACGTCCGTCATTAAAATTTCATCTTTTCCAGCTTCTATTAGTAATATTTTCCAATCGGGTATTTCTGATAGTCTGTTTGCCAAAGCACAACCGGCCGAACCACCACCGACAATGATAAAATCGTAGGCATCATCTAATATCGACCTATTTTTTATTAGGTCGGGGGGTAGGCCGAGAAAATCTCTAAATATGCTAATGTTATTTGTAAAAAAATTATCTTCTGCTCCTACTCTCGTACTTTTTAAATTTAAAATAATTAATATTAAAATCCGTAAATATAAATAAATTTTCATTTTTTTTTTTTAAATAAATAAAATTTAGTTTATCATTAAAAATAATAAAATAATATATATATATAAAAAATCAATCGTAATCGGCCTTAACCTTTAAATCCTGAAAAATTTCAAAAAAAAAAAAAAAATTATTTATACTAATAATAATAATGATGATGTTTAATGAATATTAAAAAATAAAGATGAAATTAAAATAAATAAATAAATCCTTTTGATATCCTTTAACGCAACCTTCGGTCAAAACAGTTTCCTATTATTATTATTATTATTAGCTAATAGAAAAAGATGCAATTTTTTAAATATTTTTCCGCAATTTAAATTGCGGTCAATGGCTAAACAATTTTTAAAATATAGTTAAAAGGTACCTAAAACTAGTCGACCTTACCAAAAAAAAAAAAAAAAAAAATTAAGTCACGTTATTTGTAATTGGTAACAATTGAGGGGGTTTCTTGCTTTTAAAAAAACTAATAATAATAATGATAATTTATTACACGATTATTAATTATTAACGACAAATTTAAAACCTGTAGAAAAAATTATTTATTATATATTTGTAAAAAAAAAAAAAAACTTAGAAACTTATCATATCGAATGGGTCATCAATCACAAAACCTAAAAATTTAAATTTATTATTATTATTATTATCTTTTTTTTAACTTATAAATATTTCAACCCTTATTATATTATAAACTTTCTCTCTTTGTATTTTGTAATAATAAAATTTTTTTTTTATTTACATTTTTGTAATTAAATAATTAAAATTTTTCCTTCTGGCTATGCTATCCTCCATCTATTTAAATAATCAATATTATTATTAATAATAAAACTTATTACAAAATTATAAACGAAAAAATAAATAAATAAATAAATTTTTTTATTTTTCATAAGTAGTTTATCGATTTATTGATTGATTGATTTATTGATTTATTTATTAAATTTTAATTTTAATCTATTTATTAAATTTCCAAATTGAGATTCTTACGTAAAAAAAAAAAAAAAAACGAAATTAACGCGATTGTTTTTAAATGTTATGAAAATTAAAAACCGTTACAAATGGTACTTCGAAATCAATTTATTACCATTTTGAATTTTTAATAATAATAATAATAATAATAATAATATTATTATTTGTCACGATGTGAAAAATCAGTGAAATTTTTTTTTTTAATGATTTCTTAATAACTAAAAATTATTTTATTGTCATTTCTTTTTAATTTAAAAATGTCAAAATTTTTTTTTAGCAACTGGTAGTAGTATCAATTACCTTTATTGCAATAATTTGATTTTTTTTTACCTGATGATAATAATAATAATATTTTAAATAAATGTAATGTGTTTGAAACAATAATGAAAGCATAGATAAGTGTCAAATAAGAATCAAAAAAAAAAAAAACGTTTTTTTAATTGAAAAGGAAACATGCACATAACCATCTTTGCACATGAACAAACTCTACGGACTCATTATTATAAAATATAAATTAA